GACCAGACCAGACCAGACCAGACCAGACCAGACCAGACCAGACCAGACCAGAACAGGACAGAACAGAACAGAACAGAACAGGACAGACAGACAGACAGACACACACTGTATGCATTACACAGGAGTCACTCAGGAGTGGTTGTGTTCAATTTGCCGAAAGCTGGACAACGAGAGGGGAACCGCCTGCCGGGTCAAGGGGTTTTCAGTCCTTTTTTCCTTCCCCAGGCTTTCCTTTGCCAAATCTCCCTATTTTCGGTACCTACCAATCTGCCACGTTTTGCCACTCACAAAGACCGACACCACGGAGGCAGCATACCGAGAAGTGGGTCAATTGACACCCATTCTGCTGAACCGAAGCTGTTGCTTGGAAGAGCAGGAAACCACGCAGCTTGGCACAAACTTGCAGGGGCAATTACCTGAAAAGGTGTGGATGACAAAGCCTTTCTGCATGGGATTAATTTTAGGCACGATTTTTGGGTGGATTGGTTGGCCAAACCCCGGGAAAAAAACATCACACAGAACCCTTAGGAAGATGAAAGGCGAGGAAGAGTAAAAGCAACAATTCATCAGAACTCTTAGTTCTTAGAACTCTTAACCCTTTGCCCTTGATTGAGGAGGAAGAAACAGAACTCTTAGTTCTTGAATCCACCACCCCTTGGAACTGTATATTGTCCTGGTTTTTGCAGATCGGATGATTTGGTATCTTCCCGGTTCTTGGGTGAATCCCTTAAAACTGAGAATGTGTTATTTGGTTCCTTGGATCCTGGGAGCCACAAATCCAAGTTCTACCACACTCACCTCGTTTCTTCAACAACGTTCCCGGACCAACCCCAGCTGGTCGTTGGACTTCGCCTCTAGGATCCTTCAAGTGCTCCACGCTGGCGTCGCTGATGCCGCCAGCTCCGCCGAGTTGGGCGCGGGACTCCCGCGCGCCAACTCGGCGGGGGCGCATTTTCTGGTGGTGGCGATGGAAGAGCCGGAGGCGATCTCCACCGGCCACTTGGGCACGGATGGGGAAGAGATGAGGTTCGTGTGTTTTGAGGATTTGTGTTGAAACATTTGAAGGTGTTTGGCTCATATTTGGGAATGCATAAATAAATCAGACACACATGTTTTTTCATGGTTTCTGGCTGGCCCTGTGTTGTTTTGTGTTTTCTTTGGAGCCAGGTTTGTTGGTTTGCATGAACAATAGGCGAACTCACCACAGACAGTCGGCCTCGAATCTGTTGTTGAGAACTAACCGGGGGCTTAAGTGACTCAGTGACAGGCAGCGACAGGTGCAGGACCTGAATTGCGGGTGATGATGCCCCCTCTTTAGAACATTTAAATCGGTTTATGTCTTGTCATGGCATGGCCTGTGTCGGCCAAACCAACATTTTTGGCAACTGTTGAATGGCGGCCAGGTGCTTTACAATTCATTAGGCAAGCCCCACCCGCGTCGCTCATTCGCGAGGAATGATTTTGCAGCAGATGGTGCAGCTCCACTTCCAAGTGTCCGTTTTCTTCGTCCGCCATGCTGAAGAGATCTCCGATGCCCTCAAAGCCACAGCAGGGCTCTTCCTGCTGAGCCGAGGCGCGTAGATTGGCGCAGTATGGAGTGGAAGAGGAGTCGAAGCGTCTGCGAAGTGTGCGAGGTACTTAAGCCCACTCCCACCTTAGAGGGGTCCGCTTTTCATGCGGATCTGTGATGGTTTGAAGACGACCTCCATTGGACCCCTGGGCAGATCTGGCAGTGCACCACAAGACTGACCGCTTGACCGACACCTGCAGGGACGACCGTCGTGGACGACCCGTGGGCCTTCTTCGGGTGGACCACTCGTCGGGCGAACATGGTGCCATGACCCATGACCGCAGATGTCGAGCTGAATGCTTTTGTACCATCTCTCTCTCTATATATATATATATTATCTCCCAAAAATGAATGGATGGTTGGGTAGGGACATTTTGGGATTTGAAACATGTAGGGGTAACTCCTGATCTTGATGCCATTTTGGCTCAAGATCAGGGCAGGATTTGTTTTGGGTCCCGCCATGCCGCGCATTAGCCGGACGACTCCTGCGGTGTGGCACCCAGGGTCGCGTCGGTGGCACCGGGCGAACAGAGGCGTGGACCCGACTACGATCTCGCCTGAAGTGAGGCGCGCTGACCTGGGGGCCAGGTCGGCGTTCGTCCTGGCTACTCATTGCCGCTGTTGCGGTGCCTATACCGCATCTTGGTGCGAGGGCTGCTACTTTCGTCAGCCCGACACTTTTGGGGCGGTTTGCGCCGAGTGCGACCACCTGTATCTGGTTTGTGACCAGTGCAGGTTTAGAAACGTGACTTGGCAGCAGGGCCATGCCGCGTACATCGAGCAAGGCGGCCGGGACTCCGAGGACCAGATCGAGATCACCGGTTGGGGGGACCGGACCAATCCCCATTTCGAAGATGCCACTGGCCAGATCTCGGTTGCCGAGGTCGCGCAAGTCCTCGGCGTCTCAACCCAGCAGGCCCGAGACCTCATCAGAGAGCACTTGTCCCGTGCCACCCAAGCATCCTCCAGTGGCCCCGCCGCGACAGACCAACCCTAAGCAACCGATGCCCCCTCCAGAGCCCCCTCCACTCCGTCTGAGACGGCCTCGGTCCCTGTCCTATTCTCCTGGGCGTGGCCGTACCCCGGTTTTGACAGTGCGCCAACCGGATCAAGCTATGGAGGCGGAGCTGTTGGAACTGGTTGCAGATCGGTCGGAAGAACTGGTGCAATTGTTTTGCCACAATGGTGTACAAACATGCCAGGATGTGGTTGGTATTTGGTCGCATGGGGGTGAATTGGTGGCTGAGCTGGAACATCTTCAAGGCCCCCTGGATGCCGAAGAAGCTTTTCAGGTTAGCGCCTTGTGGACGCTTGCAGCTCGTCGAGCCCATGACCACCATCGGCGCGTGGCCCGTGCTGTGACAGGGAACCGCCTGTCGGTCGTGGAGACTACATCCATGGTAGTGGCACCCAAGGGAGCTGGACCTCGTGGCCATGTTCGGCAGCTCCTGGAGACAGGGTTCCCAGGGCGGCCGCCTATGCTGTTGGCTGCGGTGGCTTCTGACCCACACACCAAGGAAGAGGCCAAGCGGGCCACCAAGACCCCGGCCCTCTTCGAGATCCTCCTGAGCGAGTTCCTGAACCTCGAGGAGTTTGGCGTGACTTCTTGGGAGGAGTTGGGTGACCCCGTACGGCTCCAGCAATTGAAAGACCAAATCACGCAGGCCACTGGGCGCCTTACAGAGGCTCGGATTGGGGCCCTCCTTGCAGCTTTGCGCCGCTGGCATCGGTATGCCTCTGAGAAGACATATCGTGTTGCCAAGCCGACCCCTCTGCAACTTCCTCCGTGCAGTTGCTCAAGGGGGCCCTACTGCAGCATCATCAATGTTCCAGGCCTTAAAGTGGTTCCGGGTCACGTTTGGCCTCCACTTCAACGTGGACCACTGGCTTACTCAGCCTTTCAGGTTGCTACCGCCGGACCATCGGGCGCAGCAGAGGACGGAATTGCAACCTTGGGAGCTGGTGAACCTTTTATTGATGATGAAGAAGGCCTCCGGTACACACTTGTTGATTTTTGCATTTTTCGTCTGGGCAGCTATCTCACGTGTGCTTTTTGAACATTTTCAAAGGTCAAAGTATATGGAAAGCCACCCACAATGCCATTTTTGAATGCTCTCAGGGCAAAGCCCGCAGGAGGGGCGCTCGGCCTCCGAACTTTGGGCGATGCCTGAACTGGAGTTTCAAGGGCTTAGTATCCACCGCATTGTGCGGGACTTCGTTACGTTGGAGCTGAACCCGCAGTTGAACTTCCTCTGGCCTGCACTCCAGTTGAGCTCGGAAGACCTCTGGGAGGTCACCGAGGGCACTGCATGGCTCGTGAACAGGAAAATGTCGTGAGGCCGCTTCCTCGAGCTGCTCCGAGGTACGCTCATTACCATGCAGGTGGACCACGATCAGGCCAGGGGGGCTGGTTACAACAGGTTGCGCCGTTTCCTCCCGACTATGGGGCTGGTGTGTGGCTTGCAGCCAGCCAACCAGCAAGCGGTTGGGAATTGGCAGGAAGTCCCAGGTGCCGGGGCCCTGAGCCAGCCGCCTCCACCTGAGGCGCCACCAGTGGAGCCTGCAACGACGGCCTTGCCTGTGGCAGGCCCTGGACAATGTCACACCGCCTGCTCAGGTGGATGAAGAGACTGCGCAGTCAATATCTTCGTCAACTACTTCCTCTTCCGCCTCCGATTGCTCCGCTATGGGCAGCGACCTGGAGGGGATCCTGGCAGAAGAGACGGCCATTACAGAGGCCATGGTTTGTGCAGAGCCGCAGGGTGCACATTGTTAGCGGTGTCGCGACTTCCAGAACCTCAAAGCCGCTGCTCCGGTGAACGTGGGTTGTGAAAATAGCTGACATGTTGGCACAGGACTCATGTTAGAAAGCTTTGGCGCAGGCACGTTGAGTGGGATGGACCGCTGAAAGATCTTCTATCCATGCACTGCAGATGAATCTGGCTATACTCAAAACTCAAAACACTTCGAGCCTGCGAGATTCAAAGAGGTTGTTCAGTCTGCATAATAGGGTCAATGTAAGTATAAGATAATATATAGATGAGCGAGAAGATAAGTATAAGTATGTTTAAGTAAATGATTCTCCGGCGATCCCTTCGCCGAGGCGAAGCCATCAGCCCCGATTCCACCGCCACCATTTTCACCACCACCACCACCACCACCAGTCCAACAGCAACAACCACCACCACAACAACCAGAGCAACGGCAACAGCAACACGCATCCACAACCACAGCACCCACAAGCATCAAACCAACACGCAAATTTCTCAACAGACTAATGTGTCTTGGCTGCACGGGGGGGGGGCGGTTCTGCTGTTGGATTGCCAAACCCTATGGGCACGTTTGTGGAGCTCCATATGTTGGTACCGCCCTCAATCATTTGATTCACTTGCGCTTTACAACCTTGTCAGGCGAAAGCTTTGGAACTCCGTTCTTGGCTTTAAGTTCCCTTTACATGAAGCGATGCCAAAGCGATACCCCTGGATGATCAAAACTTCTTTGTGGGGAAGGGAGCGCTGATGTCAATGGAAAGCTCTGTAAGAATACGCCAGGAGGGCTTGGACAAGGGATTCTATAGATATTGATATAAACGCTGGGCCTCTGAAAAATATCTATAGAATGCCTGGTGCTCATAAAAGGGGTGCTATATAGAATGGGAGGGTCTTTGATGAAAAGAAAACACGACATCCGAAATCAGTGTCCAAGCAATGACCTCTATAGAACGTTCTGCCCAGGCCCAGCTAGGCAGCAATAGATTCCATCACGACCCCTGGAAATCATTTTATAGAGTCTCTAGAATGCCATCAGCCAAAAAACATGTGGAAATAAAACATGCACATGTACATCTATAAAACGACAGGGTCTTGCAGCAACATCTCAACAATCATACCTCTATTTTGCATTTCTATAAAATGCATAGGGCCTGTCCAGGCTCAAAAAATACAGCTCTATAGAATGACCCTCTGATTTTGGGCCCTAGGGCCCTACTTTTTATAGGCCCTTCTCGTACAAGGATGCTTTCTCTCTCCCTCTCTGTCTCTTCTCCCACTACCCATATCCAAAAAACATACAAAGGCATCCAAAACACTGTAAAGCGACATACTTAGTAACCCCGCAAAGATAATTGAAGTGTACATTGTGAAGGTACCCCCAGACATCTGACAACTCTCTTTACTCTACTGTTTCATCATAATGCAAGCATACCTTACACCAGGGCAACTCTACACCTAAACACTCTCGAGCCGTTCCTGGGGCGAGAGACTCACTGCATAAGGGTGTGCCGGGGAGCCCAGCGTCGGATCTCAGGCTTGGGTGGCGGGGAGGAGGTAGATGATCGTCCCATGACAAGCTCCTCAAAGAATTCATCTCATGTTTTGCTTTGGCACACTTTTAAGGTTAGTCCAATCCCAGCTGGCCACACGTTCAATGATGAAAATGTTGGGCTGAGAAGGTGGTTAGAGTGAACCCTCCCCTTCAATTCGGGAAGTAAGCTAAGGTGAGCGTGGCTTGGGGCTTCAGTGAAGCCTGCTGGACCGCTCCGGCCAGGACCTGTGTGCGTGCTAGGCTGTATCGTGCGGGTCTTTTCGAAAGAAACGCAGGTTATTCTCCTTTCTGGTGTACTTTTTTCTTTCGAAACACTTCGTGTTTACTTCACACTTCACACTTCCTGAGCGGATTTGTCCATTGTTTGCGGGTCGGAGTGGTCTTCGTGATGAGGGCGTTTCTCGACCGAGTCACGAGGCTGATTTGGTCGCGCCGATTTCAAGACAGCGCGAAGTCCCTCAGCATTGATTTGTGGTTTGTTGGGGTTTGGCGCAGGTTGCAGCGCTTTGCCATGTTCCTGCTTAGAGACAGCTAAGAGACACTTTCGCGAAAAGAAGGCTCAGGATTCCACAAATATGAAAGAAGAGTTAGCAAAGCGTTCATCAGCTGGCAGAGGCTTTGCGCATCCAGGGTCATGACGACATGACGACTCCAGTTGAAGGAGTTGTGATCTGTGATGTGATCCAAAATCGTTGGCCAAACGCTTGAAAGGTGGCCAGACCGTGCTTTCATCACCCGGCTGGATGTGTGCCAACAGTTTGGAGGTGTAAAGCTCAAGTTCACAAACCTTTGCGAATAATCTCAGGCCAGCTCAGCACATAAGCTTCTTTCCACCATGAAGAAACTCTGAGACGCCAGGGAGATAGATTAGACTCTGATTAGACCATCAGATAGTTATGACTCAGAACCAGCTCACTCCTCCATACATGAATGCCTTCTCTTCTGCTTCACCCAGCTGCGCCTTGGCTTCATCCACCGCCAGTCTACATGCCTGGCCGAAGACATCCACCCCCGCAGGCAGCCGTGAAGGAGTTCCCATTCGAAAGCAGCCGGGAACGACATCGTGTCGGATACCCTGGATTCCAATCACCGTTGATTTCATGGTTCTTACCGAACAACCATTGTTTCACTAAGGCTTTAGACTTTAGGGCAGCGGAAGCAAAACAGCCGGAGGCAGTCGATGAGACTCTACCGGAGTCCACAATGCAACAGCTCCATAAGGACTTTGCTGCCAAGTATGGAGTCGTGTTAGATGCGTTCTTGGAACCATCTGACGCACTCCGCTCCCGAGTATATAGAGAATTCCGCAAAAGGACAATGACGGTTGTCAGTGTCGCCAAGGTCAGATCTATCCTCCACCAGTCGGCACCCAAGCAACAAGCATCGGTCCGCCTGGGAGCGGGCGTTCAGCTTGAATTTGCCGCTGATGACCACCGAGTGGTCCGTACTGTCGTGGAGTACTACTTCTCTCTGCGCACTTTGGCTTATGCCTGGAGAGTCTTCATGCCCCTGGCTACGGCTATGTCGTATGCGGATCAAGCCCTACAATTTACAATGGAGTTTGCGCAGGGCAGCCTGATTTGGTTGGAAAGGAATGACATCAATACCCGCTCCAAGATGGCTTCTCTTATTCGTCGTGGCCAGACTGGGGCCTCAGCCCTGGAGGAGGCACTACGCCAGACCCACATTGACTGGCGTGCCCCTGGGTTGCAGCCTGCCTTGCCTGAGGCAGGTGCATCCCCCAAACGCCGCTTGCCTGAGAGTGACCAGCCGCAGGAGCGAGGCCCCCCCCCAAAGAACGGCGCATGGTCAAGACTGACAAGTGGCCTACCATCTCCATGTTGAAGGGGGGTCAAAAGTTGTGCAAGATTTGTCCAAGCATTGTGTGTCTGGAAGCAGTTTCTCCCAATGCACAGCCAAAGGCTGAGACGTACTCTGAAAGCAGTGGAAAAAGCCGTGCAGATCCTGAACCCTTTTCTTGAGGCGGTAAGGTGTACTAGTGCCCACAAAGTAGCGCAGTCTAAGAAGCCTGCTTTTGTGGCTACCTTGGCATGCTTGCTGCGTTGGCCGAATCGTGACCTGGCCCGCCAACTAGTTCGTGAGTTTGCCATTGTAGGGTCCCTTCCGCCATCGGGGGTGTTTCGGGGTATCCAACAGGCTGACAAGTTACTTTGGCTGAATGGCTGGGGCCTTCAGCAGAGGCAGACGTGCAGCGGTTGATCCGTAGCCGACCCCCGCTCCATGCACAAGAGATTTTGTCAGTCACTCAAGAAGAGATTGTCAAAGGTTTCTGCAGCCCGTTACAAACTATGCAGGCTATGAATGATACCTTTGGTGTTGGTGGTTGGAGAGCCGTGGAACGTTTTCTCATTATTCAACCTGACGGCAAGCAGCGTGTCATTGAGAATGCCCGCAAGAGTGGCCACAATAATCACACGTCCATGCAGGAGACTATTTCGACGGTTAATGTGGGTTTTGTGGCCTCAGTTGCTCGTATGGTCAATACCACCTTGGAAACCCACCAGTGTGAACCCCCAGAGTGGCTTGATTTGCGTTTGAGCACTGACGACCTGCCTGACGCATATCGAGGCCTTCCAGTCCAGGATGACCACTTGCGGTTTTCCAACGTGGCGGTCTTTGTCCCTGACGAAGGCCGGCGGTTCACTACCATGTACGGTTTAGCATACGGATTAGAAAGTGCAGTTGTCAGTTTCAACCGCTTCCCCCAGTTGGGTATTGCGATTGCACGACGCTGTACGCTATCCTTTTGCGCCGCATATTTTGATGATGAACTCGCAGTTGATTTTGTGCACCATGCGGATGTCTCGCAGCGCGGACTCCAACTGGTTTTCAACTTATGGGAGCCCCTCCGCAAGCGGCCAAATCCTTTGCTCCAGGCCGCAACCGTCATTACTTAGGAACATCTGTGCATGTTGGAGACTTCGTTTCGGCGGGTTCTATTCGGTTCCAACCCAAGTTTACGACTCAGCGGAAAGTGCTGGCGAAACTCCGCCTAGCATTGGACAGCAGCCCTTGTGGCATGCCCAGGCCCCCGTGATGTGGATGTCCGGGCTCTACCGTGCCAACCTGTAATTGTCTACTCTGACGCCTCATTTGAGCATGGCAGTTTACGTGTTGGCTGAGTTATTTTCCAACAGTCGAATCGACCACAGGGCTTGACCTGCGTTGTCCCCCAGGAGGTGATTCAGACTTGGGAAGACCGCACACAACAGATTTATCCTGGCGAGACCCTGTGTGGCTTGTTGGTGCCTTGGTTTCATGGGGCATCCTTGTGCCACCAGGATGTCTTGTGGTTCATCGATAATGAAGCAGCTGTGGCTTCCCTTATCCGTGGGTCCAGCTCCTAAATTGATGTCCACACTTTGGTCCAGCTAGCGCATTTTCTCTTTCAACGATTTAGGATTCGTGTTTGGATCGATTGGGTGGACTCGGAGAGTAACCCCTCGGATGGCCTTTCCCGAGATGGGGTTTGTGACTCTTGGACCAGGTCACAACCTTGGGATGTGTCAGAGGTTAACTACCCGGACTCCCTCCGGTCCGTGTGTCACCCTGCACACCTTTCCCGCTTTTTAGAGAACATGGACAGTGGGTGATTTTAGATACAGTGGGTGGTATGTTAAGTTCATCAAACATGACTTTCCAAGCTGGTCCGTGTGTTTACTATCACGACTAATACCCAGTGTTATTTCATAACACTCATTGGCTTACTGT